CTCTTTGGAATGTCCTTCATGGCAGGTCAGTATATCCCAAAAACCGCTTTCCAACTCACTCTCCTCACTTCGGCGCTTCACCCGTAGACCGAATCTTCGCCCAGGCGCCACGCGCCGGCGCCCGGCGGAGCGACGTGGGAGGCGTGCAGCACCCGCGGCCTTTCGTCCGAACGTGGCGAAAACGAGGAAGACGAAGGGCGGTTGGAAGTTCTGCTCTCTGTCTCGGAAGGGATGCTTTGAAATGAACTGCAAGAATTGTAGGACATGGCTTGAAGGATATCTACTTGTAGCTGGTAGAATGAAGGGCGGAAAGGCGTCTTTTTGGTTGGGGTGATTGTAGCAAATGAGACTACGGACCCTGCAAAACAACAGGGCCAGCCCGAAGGACACACATCTGTAGGACTTTCGGTGGCCTGTTGAAGAGGTTTTCCTTTGTTCATCGATGTCTCAGCCCAAAGATATTGAGTCCTCTTAATGTATAGACTCTTGATCAATCACAATTCATAACCCGGCCCCACCTCCATATAGTAAGTCTACCATAATCCACTATTATAGGCACAATAGGCACATTTCATAACACCCCCATACAATAAGACTGTGGTCTGCTTTTGATACGCCCCCATAGAACAAGTCTACCATAGTCTACTGATGTCTTAAACAACTTGACAAGTCTTCAACTCCACACCTCTCCGGCATCATCGGCCCCGTCATCGCTGCCTGGGCCGGCACTCGAGGCACTCAAACCATGGTATTTGCGATGTAATTCCACTCGCCTCTGAGCTGCGCTGCCTTTCTTGTCCAATCTCACATATCACATACCTCTATGGAGTCTGTCTTTGGCACGAATGACATCGAATGACTGTCTTCCAGTTCTCTTGCTGAGGCAACCTCCAAGCTAGTGATCTTGCAGTGATATTCAGTATCTTTAAGAACACTCTATGTATATCTATGTATACTATAAGATCAAACTCAGGAATTTCATGGTAATGGTGCTGATCTTGATGTAGAAACATGTAGAAACCACATCACATGTCCCAAATAAGTGGATTTTCTCAAGAAATGCGGGTATGGGCACCTGAAGAGTATGCTGTGCCAGTAAAGAAATGCAAGTTCTTTCAGTCGATGCTTCATTTTGTTCAGGGATAAGCGGTTTTTAAATGCAAATTCTTTGCTCGACGGGGACAGTTTACTGTAAGATCCGTCAGCTTAAGGCTGGTTCCAAGTAAACATTGTAAAGTTCGAACACCATTGTACCCCAACTGTGGGGCTTAGGGATCCATGTCACATGGGTGCGGTATGACATCAAACGGCAACACACTTCGTCTGAGCAATATTCTTATCAAGTGCATCAAGGCAATTAGGAACCACACCTGAACACATGTCACTTGAGCTGGAGGGCATGGTATATACAACCATAGCTATTGTGCGACCTCTGGAAGAATTACAATGGCGGGGTCTTCCGCAATGATGGCTATGACGTAGGCTGGATGGGGCATCCCTTTACCTCCATAATTCTTCCACTCCACAACCACCACAACCACCATCCTGGTGAGGAACTCACTAGGTCGGATATTCCACTTCGATCCCGCCTGCACCACCGGGCGGTATGCCGATGGAGGTGAGGCATAGCCTGTGGAGATGGCGGTGAGGCATAGTCGTTACCCCATGTGATCCAAAGCTCCTTGTGCAAAAATAGGTTAAACAATCTCTCACTTGGACGGAACTTTGATGTTTTTTTGGTATCTGAAAATTCAGAGAGCATCATTAATAAGTCCAACCCCCTCAGCATTGACTTGATCCCCACGCAAGATGCTATTGGGTGTTCAGCAGGTCTCTTCGTCCTACCAAATGCCCTATCTTCAAACCCTCCACTGGTTCCTCTCAAAAAATTATCTGTGCGCAAAAATTACCCAGCATGTTAATGGTTTCACGGTGAACTCCTTTGATGTTGTAGGGGATCGTTTGGGATTGCAAGCCCTTTCTACCTCGCTAGGCTTCCCCACTCATGCCATCAGGTCCGCGGCGCGTGGGCAAGGAGACCATCCGTTCCTGCCGCTTTTTGTCCCACCGCTGCGCGCCCGGTCACTGGGTTGGAGGCCGTCTCAACCGATTCCTTTGAGCCCCGACACACCACTGCCCACATCACACTGCGACAGTGAGAAGAACATGGAGATCCCTATAGAAAAAACACATCGAAGACTATGATGGGCATCATAGTCTTCTTGCAGTAGGGTCTGGTCCAACTTCCCAGCTATGGACTGCGATCTCAAGTAACATCGCGTGGATGATAGCTGGAGAGGCATCCGCCATTATTTCAGATCTCTTCTGATGTCTTTACCAATCGAAACCAGCGCGAGTTCCACAACGCCGCGGCATGCCGAACGGAACTCGCCACGGCATGCGTACTCGCCACCTCCTGGTGACGAGTACTGACTTATTGACTTTCCGTTCGATGTGCTTCTGCCACGCTCTCCGGGGCTCCGGGCTACACGGGATCCCGGCGCCGCGCTCGGCTGGTTTGGGACCTCGGCGCAACTTCCGACCCAAAGTGGGTCGGTGGGTGGGTGAAGCTGTCGGACCGAGCGGTTGCACAGATTGAAGAGTATACGGTTGTTGTTAGTTCTTTTGTCCTGACATGTCTTCGTTCTTCTTGAGATAAACAGGTGTGTTTCACACCGACAAGTCATTGTGGTGGTCGTTGGTTTGGGGAGCGATGCTGCAAGTCCCAAGCACTGCAGAACTATAGAAAGAACCAGCCTGGATGAAAACAATTAACACATACACCACACACACCCATTCGGGAACAGAGCTATACCAATGCATCACATCAACATCTCGGGGTGAATGCAGGACAAAGAGACAGTTTTTGCTGATCCATTTGTCCTTTACAATCCATTTTCAACAGTTCAATCCCGGGGCATGAAACACAAAACAAAAAACACTCTCCGACTCTCCGCTGGATTATAATTAAACAAGGAACTTTGGTAGTTTGCGATGTTTGGGTTTGTTGTTTGCGTTCACAACTTGCACCCCCCACTTCTTGTTCTTTTCTTGTTGCTCTTGCTGTTCTTGTTCTTGTTCTTGTTCTTCTTCTTGTTTTTCTTCTTCTTCAATTGCCCACGCCAGCATATCAGGAAGAGCTAATACATATTAGCCAGCACAGCTATACTGTGCTCCCCTGCAGCTGTTCGGATGACTGGATGCGCCATGGCGGCAGAACGCCCAGCCACCCCAAGGGAGGCGGAGCGTGGGTCACTCCGTGGTCACTGTGGTCACGAATCGTGGAGCTGTTTTCCTGAAGCCTTCGACTCCTAGGTGTGGACCTAGGAATGGGTAGGTCCGACCCCCTTTTCCATCGAGGTCCTCGACAGAGTATAGCATCGACCATTCAACTGGAGCTGTTCGGGGCCTGTCGACACTGGGGCGCTCGACCCGAGTCGACCCCAACAACGGTTTTTCAGAGTGGTTTCCCGCAAGCGTTGAAGATCTGCGATTTCAGGAGGGCTTTCACCTTGGAATTCCCTACATCGTGGAGCGGTGGAGAGAGGTCTTTATCAAACTCACCATGCACCGATTCAGGACCCTTTATCAGATCGGCGATTTGTTATCGTTTGCCCGGCTTCTTTCCTCCGCATCGTCAAAACCCTGCGCAAAGAACGCTTTGAGCCAGGCCAAAGCGTTCAAGGAGACAAGATCGCAAGACTGTTTCCCCAAGGCAGAGATACCAGGCTCTGTTCATGACAGTGATCCGGGGCATGCCGCATGCATTATCATGGGTCCTTGAATGAGATACTCATGCATCCCTTCAAAAACCGACACACACTCGATGCAATCCCATGAATCCAGGTGCAGCATGTCTGTCTCTGCTTCGTGTGAGGAGCTAGCTGTTTAGCTCTTTTCTGATCTGTCTTTTTGGTGTCTCAACTCGGATGGATTCACCCTGGTGCAGCTGAAAAGTTTGCTCCAAGACAGGTGAGATTCCCTCATGTCCTTACCGCATAGTGCTACTGAACCTCAGGTTGAATGAACAAAAACTGACATCAGGAAAAGAACCCTGCATGGGGTTCAGCACATACCTCATCAAATTTGGCTGTGGATCACCAACGTATCAACGCCGCCTAAAGTATACCAGATTTGCTTGCAATTTGCAACACAATATGATGCAAATGTGCCTCGGCAGCCAAACAATCACATGATCCCCAAAACAACATCTTCACATTAAAGCCAAACCTGGCCTCTTTGTCTGTGGGCTGCTTACTGGCATGCCCACTGTCTATGTAAATGGAGCTTGGAAGAAAACCTGGGGCAAACCAACAGTTCACGTCTTGATCCAAACCTCAATGCCGCAGGGTACCAGCTTTTCGGCCCAGAAATTCACCCATCTCGTGATGTGCCTCTTTTCCCCAACGCTTCGGTCCGCTGCGTCGCGGCATCGGCGGCGTTAGCGGCTTTGCGCGCGGAAGTCGTCTTCTCACCATATGCGGCGTCAGGCCCAACCTGACGGGGGACTGCTTTTGTTTCTATGTTGGGAATATGATGATGGAATATGTGGAATATGTACAGCCCTGTTTTTTTTACTTGTTTTCTCCAGCTCTTTTGGATGTTTCGATCAACAGGCTGTACACATGGCCACTGGCGCTTCGTCTGGGCTACTCGCGCGAGCTCTGCTGGAAGGGACGAGACAAAGATGCGAGCGGACCAGTCAGTTCGGAGCTGTTTGGAAGTCACACGGGAGGATGCTGGGAATGGAGCCGCGGCTTGCCGCAGAAATATAAGGCTGGGAATGGAGTCACACTGGAGGATGCTGGAGTGTAGACACTAAGTCTACGCTCTATGCTAGCAGGACAAAACGAGACAGCGGGCACCACTCACGACGCAGGCGAGCTTTCTGCTTTCTGATTGCGCTTTTTTGACCCTCTAAGCATGCCATGCTGGAGGCACAAGTCTTGGAGGAACGCCGTACTGGCGCAACTGCTGCAAAACTATATATGACTGGCCTTTCAGGAGCATGAATAGTGGCGGTGCCAATCATGGGGGTCTTGGTAAGGACACGCATGGCTTGCCATAGGCGTCACCACGAGATCAGAGGCGTTGTAGCCGTTCATCAGCATCTTCTCGAGTACAGGGAAGAAGTCTGCGAAGAACTTCTCATTGCTGTCGGCGTATTCTTCCACCACTCGATACCTTGCAATTCCGGAACCTGGAAAAACACACATCAAACATCCGGAACCAGGTTATGGGGTTTAAATCAGTTCGGGAAACTCCACCAAATCATCAGGAATCACCAGGAATCAAATACATCACAATGCCAGGATACATGGGAGTACTTCCGGGTGGATCTGCGATGGTGGTGAACGGGCAATGGCTGGAGTCCCAGGAGTCGCCGTGTACATCCTCAGCGCGGCCGCTTCGGCCGCGGAACCGCTTCGCTGGTGGATGGAGCGATGGTTTGGACCCAAAAACGGAATCCCTGTGTTTTTTGGCTTGCATTGATTCAGAGTAATGTGGAGTGAGAATCTGATACTAACAGGAAGCCATATCTGAACAGGATATCACCTGATACAACCTGATAACCACATGATCATCACTCCAGTCTCAGTCTAAACTTTTGATTCTCACCCAGAGCACGTTACTTGGAATGCGCGGGCTTCGCAGTCTCCAATCCGACTTGATGGCCTCGGAGTTCCAATCCTCAAGGCCAGGACAACCTGCTGGGATGCCGTCGTTGGTGGAGAACTGCCTGTAGAGACTCATGTCGGAGTTGAGCATCGTCTCATCCATACCTGGGCTGTGAAACGCGTTCTGCTAAAAAACGTCTGCGAAAAACAACGGTGCCCCGTTGGGTGTGAAAAAACGGTTAGTTGGTGTGGCTTACTATCCTATAGGAAGCCCTAGGAGGGCTATGCCTAGAATAACGGTAAACCACCAGCCTCAACCATGATAAGCTGCTTTCGTTTAACTTTGTTCGTACAAAAACAAGGTAACAACATGTCAACTCTTAAAAAGAGGTTCTGTGATGTTTCCTTCGTTCGCTTCTAAAAACCAATTACCGTTTTCTTCGGCCAGGTACCCAGCACGATGCGGTATTCCTCGCAACCTGCCTTACATGAGAAAGGGTCGTCGTTGCAGCAGCCTTCGTCAGGGCGTGTCCAGCTGGGGTCGAAGCATGGACAGACCTTCTTTTCCTGGAGCCATTGAACTGGACCGCCATTGGTCAAGTGATAAAAGGCATGCGGTTTCCACCTGGCTGGTGCCCGCTCACCACGCGAATTGCCAAAACCTCGACAAGTAGCGGTTCTGATGTTTGTGCCGTTTGGGAAGCTTCCTGTTGGATAATACCAATCTTCTTTGCTTGCCAGATTGCGGAAGTAGCCGTTGTTGAACAGCATCGCCGAGCGTGTTTTCCAGGTGTACTGATGCAAGCTGATGGTATTGTGGACCCGACCCAAGGTGTGAGCACCAAGGATGGCCACTGTCTCGCGGGCATTGAAGCCAAAGTCACGCTTGAAGTATGCCAGCGTAGAAGCCGCATTCGCACCCGGGTCAGGATGGAGTTCCGTCTTGAAGGTCTTATACGGTTGGTCCGCCGTGGGGTCTGGAACGCAGTCCTTACGACCGGAAGCAAAATGGAAGGGTCGAGGAGCAGCCACCTCGCAATCAGGCTCTCCAACTCTGGGATGACATTGACTCAAAATCCTCGGCTCTCGAGTTTGACTAGATTCTGCGGACGATTCTTGAGGAACGGGTCTCCTCCCAACGAAAACTTTGACAAGCACTTTCTTGGGAAAAGACTCCCGTGGGCATCATCCAAATCCAGCTTGTGACATGCCAGATTATTCAGGTGGATGCCATGCTCGACGGCCACCATCCCAGCAAAGGCCCACAAATCAGCTCGTGAAAAGCCGCTCTCTTTGGGCGACTGCCACAGACCTGGAGCCTCAGGTCGAGCCACAGCACTGGGAAAGCAAATGCAGCGTGCAAAGAGACATCAGCAAAAGCCACCAAGCGAAGACAAAGCGAAGAGAAAGCAAACACACAGAAGCGGTCTCTGAAAGACCGTCGTGGGAGAGAGAGGGACAGGTACAGCCAAGACGGTCGTGAGAGACAAGGCAAACAGTTTGTCTCACTGAAGCAACATTATACGGCCCACACCGCGCGGATACAAAGAGACAAGTGGAAAGCAAGTGAGAGATGGAAGCAGAATCCTGCGATACTGAAAGGAGTAAGACTCTTATACAGGTAACCTGTTTCAGGAACAAGCCACGAAAACACCCAAGCCTACAATGCACGGGGCCATAAGAAAATTGTATTTGGACGTTCATGGCACCTTTGGTGGAAAATTTGGGTCTGTGTAGATCTTCTCCAATATCTCCACTGTTGGCCGCAAGCCGTTATGATGCCCATCATCACTGACATTCAGTTGCTTCTTTCCATGCTGGTCTCGTGTGTAGCGACCGCCCACACCCTTCCATTCCAAACATCCATCACAGCCACCGGTGCCATCGGCATACTTCATGCAATCATGGAAGGCCAAGCGCAGAAACTTGGCCATGGTGGGTAGACCCGACCATCGTTCTCCAGGCACTTCAATGTTTGCTTCCCGACACACAGCATCCGATTCCTGAAAGACACGGATCAATTTAGCTCTGATGGCCTTTTGATGTTCTGGCGACCATGCAGCTCCAGGCTCACCAGCCACATAGCCTGGCCGTGCTGGTGCTTTACCGAAGGTGACGTACTGGTTCGGCCGGAAGCGTGTAGTGCAATTTCCAGCAACACTTGAATAGCGAGAACACGTGGCGCCGACCTGCAAGCTGAAGAACTTGCAGTTCAGCTCGGAGGAACATTTCCTGCAGAGAAAAAAGACACATGCAGATCGGAACTGAACCGTGAAACCCCAAAAAGGTGGTTGGAGTTGAAGCTTGGCTTCCACGGCTTCAAAGCACGTGTTCACGTAGGAATTCACACTGGCCATTCCAGGTCAGCATCTACTGTGAGCACAGTGGGTTGATTTGGTTACAGTACTCAAGTTCACAGCTGGAGGGGTGGAAGCTTCAGCTTAGCCCTGAGCATCTGAGAACTCATAGCAGCCAAGTGTGGTGGCGTTTGGTGGTCTAAACCCGGTCCAACCCAAGAGTCTAACCTAATCAAATTAGATTCAAATTAGTCTAATCTAAACGATACATACCCTACTTCTTATCTCATCACATCTCACCAACCTACTCCAACCTAAATCTCATGTAATCGAACGTCATCTCGGCTCATCTAATCAAACTAATCTAATCCTTTTGTCTCTTACCCAATCAATGAACTCTGACCTACTCTAAACTGGTAATCTAGTTCAATCTTCCCTGTAGATAATCTGATCTACTCTAATTTCCTCTAATTAAACCAAATCTAATATATACTATATACTACATATTATAGTCTTCTCCAATCTAATCTGATCTAGTCTACTCTTTTTGAAGCCCATCTGATCATATCTGTTCAAATCTTCTCTAGTTGAATCTGATCTTACCTATATAATCTTATGTGATCTTCTCTAACCTAATCATACCTAATCTACTTTACTGTTTCACGTGTCTCATTTGGCCAGTAGAACTGCGAATAATGCCGCGCACACGGAGCTTCCAACAAGCAAGTTCCCTCGCTAAAGACCAAAGCACAGCTAGCTCACACGTAAAATTCACAAGCGTTGTCTCATGTGGCCAGTAGAACTGCAAATCACAGAGAAATCAAAAACTGAAAAACGCAGGTCCCCATATAACTGCAACAAATTCCAACGGACATTCGATAGCACAAAGCTTCCAACAGGCAAGTTCCCTTGCGAAAGAACAAGCGCAGCTGGCCGAAAATACACAAATTCACAGCTGGCGTTGTCTCCGTTGGCTGGACCGGGAATCACCGAGAATAAATCCCAATGGATTGAGAATTGGGATATCAATGAAAACACAAGGAATTGAGACCCAATATATCTGTGATTTGCAATTTTCACCAGAATCCCAAGCGGATACCGCCGGATACCCACGAAAACCCAACGCCCCCGCCGCTATTCGGGACTAGCTTTTGCGACCTCGAGGCACATCTACATCACATCTCCTTGACCTCTGAACAACATCACGTGGGGATGTATTTTAATGGGGGGACCGCCCAACCAATGGGTAGACTGGTCCATGTTCCTTCTTCCAGGGGTCGTCGCCTGGGAGGTTTCCCTATTTTTAATACACATCTCACATCTCATATACCTAGACCCTCCCGAGGCAATAATTTTTGCCGTAGGCTGTTGAGGCAATAATTTTTGCCGTAACTCATTTTTTCTGCCGTAGCTCAATCCCTGGAAAGTGAAAAGGCCGTCAGAGAAGTGAAAACGCCGTCACAAAAGAAGAATCGCCGTTTTGTTTGATCTACCAAAGAGGATATTGTTTTGGTCCGTCCATACCCTGAAATTGCCTTCTCCTTTTTCACTTGTAAGTAGAGCTCATCGTTTTCAAGCCTCATGGTAGCACTTCTCAAGATGTTGCAGCCCTTGTCTAAGGTCTCGATTGACATCATGGCAGGAATTGTTCACATTTTGATCATGCAATGGCTGAAAGGATCGCTTGTGACATGTTGTGACAAGTCTTGCTGCCAACTTGAGTGACCCTAGACAGGGTAAGGGAACGACGCCGTAAGTAGGGGGGAAAACGCCGTAAGTACGGGGAAAAACGCCGTAAGTACGGGGAAAAACGCCGCAAGTACGGGTAAGAACGCCGTAACTTTAAACGCAAAATCTTCTGCAACGCCGTGCAAGAGGTCGAGTTACCCGCAAAAAACCGACGAAAACCCAGCATGTGACACTTCCATCAGCTGCCCTTTCCACTTCACATGACTATGCGAGTTTGCTGATATAATAAGACGCCTTTTACGTTCAGTTGCCTTTCAAGCAAGACCCTACAATGTTTTCATACTCGCTTGCACTAAAACTAAAACGAAATGACTCTTTGAGGCGCATGGATGTGTGGACCAAAATTGCCGTCAACTGACCGAAACTGCCGCAGTTCATCAAGAAACGCCGTCCCCATGAGATCAATAGGAAGAACGCCGCAGAACGGAAAAAGGCGACGTTTCATGAAAACGGCAATTATTATTGCCGTAACGAAGTTCCAGGTATATGATTTCTTGTCACTTCTGATCGGCTTCATATCTGACTTCACACCGTAACTCGGTACCTGTAACTCAACTGTCCGTCACTCGGACGTCTCTTCTAAACTTCAGGAATGACAAGTTCTGCCGGTGGATGGTTTTACAAGCTGGATCTTGAGTCCGTTTAGGCCGGCTTTCTCAAGGATCCGAGAGCTATTCCGTCTATGGAGCTATCCGTCAGTCAATGTCAAAGAGAAGAGCAGATGAACCAACGTTCATGTGCACATGAGACGAGACGCTGTGCACATGTCTCAATGTCAACAGCATCTGCTGTATCCCATCCACCGATGTAGCCCCCGTCGCAATAGCCGGTTCCCACATAAGTGTAGCCATTGGGAGAGGAAGGCGAAGAATTGCAAGCTCCGCAATCCTGGCACGTCCACATGGCGCACTTCGCAGACCAATCCTGCCGGGGCTCTTTGTGATTTTTGAATCACCAAAACGGTGCTCATTTTGAGGCCAAAACATGGCGTCTACGATGCATCTTCTATAACTCGCGAGGCGCGTTCTTTTTTCTTCTCAGAACCCTATCCGAACCCTATCCTTCGTGTTGTGCTCGCACCAGCCTGCACAATGGGGCATACCATCACAACCAGCACACGCCTTACATTCGTTGAAAGTGCAAGTGCTGGGGTTGGGCGAGCACCACGATTGGCAGTCTCCCGTGTTCCCCTCTGCCTCGCGAAGCTCCATTTGGCTAGCATCTCCTACAGAAGTTCTTCACATGCTTTTTTCAACATTAAAGAGTTTATACATTGTATAAATTATACCTCTCTATAGCCAGAAGCGGTATGCATATATTTATATAGCAATTATACGCCTGTTATTGGTACTGACGCGGCGCATGTGTCCCCCGTTGGCATTCCCCCCCAAAAACCACCTAGTCATATCTGGTCGTCCTGCGACCAACAGCTTCCTCTGCACCAGCGCGCTGGAGGCAGAAGGAACGGCATCACACGCAGCATCACGGCAGAGGGCACCAATCTTCGTGAAGAGACCAAGGACACACACAAGAGACCAAGGAGCTCCACAGCGAAGCACCATTCTGACAGCGCGAAGCGCTGCAGACGCAATAAGTAAGGGCAAAGTGGTTCAGCCTTTTGACGTTGGCCGAAATGACCTGCGGGATGCTCGTATACAGACTTGATCAAACGAAAGAGACTTTTTTCGTGATTTCTCTCTGATCAGCAGTGATTGTGCTTGGTTTCTCACACGAGGCCCCATTTCAAATCATGGCTGGTCTGAATGAAGTCGGGGCCCATATGCTTTTCGCCAAGTGGTGCCCCCGCCCGCTTGGACTTGCTGCGTCTGTGTCGACACAGTTCCACTCGTTGGTCCAAATCGCCCATCGCAAAGCCCAGCGGCCTCCAGTGGATCCCAGGTGTGGCGGATGTTTGCGGCCTCGGTGTCCAGAGGTCCGTGTTTGTCAGGTGGTCCGAGGTCCGAGGTCCATGTCCGTGGTGTCAGCTGTACCAAGCAAAACAGCACGGATCGAACAACAAATACCGTTTTGTTGATGTTCTTTTGGTTGACATGTCTTCGTTCTTCTTCAGACTTAGACAGGTGTTTGGACAAGTCCTTCTTGTGGTCGTTGCCGTTGGTTTGGGGAGTGATGTTGCAAGTCCTCAGCACTGCAGAACTATAGAAAGACCCAGCCCGGCTGCAACCAACACATGCGCCAACGATCGCCAACGATATTTCATGTGCGCAGGGCTCGTGTTCTTGTTGTCTTGATAAAGCATAGCGTAAACGGCGTAGACCACAAAGAGTGATTCGGGGACAAAGCTAGCCATGCATCACATCACCATTTCTGGTTGACAAAGAGCCAATTCTCCTTTTGAACCCATTGTTTAACAGTCGGACGTGATTTTTGTTCAACAGTCGGACGTGATTTTAATCTCTGGAGCATGTGATCCGAACCATTCTCAAGTTCGATGAGCTTATCGATTTACAGATCTGCGCATGACGCCCCTTGCCCCTTGCCAAGGTTTTCGGGGCTAATCCCAAAGAGACCAAACAAGGTGCTTCAAGAACTCCTACAGCCTCAAACTCAAAGAGTACAAGGCTTTCAAAAAACAAACATCATCAAAACAAACAAACATGCTCCCTGCATGGCAAACATATTGTTTTGCATGGTTTTCTGATGTGTCTGTTTTTACATTGACAACTGACACCCCTCCGTCTTCACATGTGCCACCAGATCAGGAACAGCAAGCATGACAACACAGCTGTGCTTCCCTGCAGCCATTCGGATGATGCGCCATGGTGCCATGGTGGTGTCAAAATCACAAAAGCCGTAGCTCAGTTGAATGTGTTCACCTCTGGCGGGATTTTGGGGGGACAGCAGTTTTCGCTCTGCAGTTTTCGACCCGAGTCGACTCGACCCCAAAAACGTTTTTTCAGGGTGGTTTCCCGCGAGCGTTGAAGATCTGCTATTTCAGGAGGGCTTTTACCTTGGAATTCCCGACGTGGGCAAAGCATCAAATCCGGAGCGGTGGAGAGAGGTCTTTATCAAACTCACCTGCACCGATTCAGGACCCTTTCTCAAACTTTGAGCTTATAGATCCGCTCCTTCTACCATTTAGCCCGTTTCTTTCCTCCGCATCGTCAAAACCCTGCGCAAAGAACGCTTTGAGCCAGGCCAAACCGTTCAAGGTGAGATAAGACTGTTTTCCAAGGCAAAGATACCAGGCTCTGTTCATGACAGTGATCCGGGGCAAGCCGCATGCATTATCATGGGTCCTTGAATGAGATACGAATAATACTCATGCCTTCAAGAAACGACAAAACACTCCAAGCAATCCCCTGCAATCCCATGAATCCCGTGTCCGTCCCGAAAAGTCTGCTTCGTTTGAGAAGCTTGCTGTTTAGCTGCTGGGCTCTTCTCTGAGGTGACGTGCTTCAAGACAGTGAGATTCCCTGACATGTCCTTACTGTACAGAGTGCTACCAGGTGACTATGTGCTTCTCAACTTCAGGATGGATTAAAAAGAGAAAACACAGACTTCAGCGAATCGACCACTCTGCGATTTAGCGCATGCTTGATCGAAACGGTTGTTGGTAAAACAAACACCGCACCGAAATATTACACCAGAAATGCATTAGAAATGCTTGCAAAACAATAATGGATGTATATGGATGTGCATCCCATCCGAAACAAAAAGCACTAAAATTATCCCCAAAATCAGTCTTCCAATGTCAGACAGTCAGTCTCCTTAAAACTCCACGCCCATCCCACCGGCGCTGGTCACTCGGCCTATCCCGCACCTCTCGCGCCGTGCCTTTTTGGCCCCACTTCGTGCCTTTTTGGCCCCGCTGACGTCGTTAGGGCGGCTTCACGCCCAGCCTGGCCGTGGGACCGGATGGTTTTCGGGCTGATGAAGAGAGCGTGGGACGCGGGCGGCATGGTGACGAGGGCATGGGGGGACTGGATTTGAAGGATCTGAACCTCGTTTTGAAGAGGTCCTAGTACTTACTAGCAAACGAACATGAACAAAGCTCCAGCTAATTTGACCACCATCTTTCATCAAATGATTTATCAGATTTTTAATCTGCACTCCAAGAACTCCATTCGGAACTCCGAACCAGCGGCACTTGGGAGCCGTGCGTTCAGTCTCATTCACTCCCTGAAACCAACGTCTCATTCACTCCCTGGAAGTCAAGTCGACCATTTGTAAAATGGGAACGATCTGGTTTTGTAGTGTAAAACCCTTAGTGACACAATGGTTGTTCGGAAAAGGCTATGAAAACTATTGTGGTTCGACTTCTAGGGTGTTCCTATACCATTTCCATCTGCACAGGAAGCAAACATTACGGACACGAAACACGTCCCTCCCGCCTGCGGAGGGGCTCGGCCACCAGTCGCTGGGTCTTGGGATGCTCCAGATCCAAGACCTTCGGCACTCCACGCGCCACGCGACCAAACGGAGCAAAAAACACCGGTCCGGTGCCCTTAGATGAGGGGTTTGCATCTGTTCGGAGAAAGCCGGTTAGGAAGGTCACAGGATACATATATTGCATTGAATTGAAGTTCTTGGAAAATCTTACTTTCAGGCTTTCAGAAGACAAAACACCAGAAACAGGACATGAGTTGGGGCCTTAGGTTTGGTTCCCTGACATACTGCTGCGGTAAAAAGGATCTTTGTGCACCATGCACAATGGACCTGCATCAACCCCTGGTGCTGACTGTTTGGGCGATTCTGGCACCAGTAGTGGTGTGATAGTCCACAACCAGTTTTGTAGCGAGGAGTGTTTCCTTCCCAAGGATTGCAGCACCCATTTATGATATCATGGATGATCATGAATGAGAAGCAATCGATTGAACAAATAAGTAAATTGACCTTTGTTGGCCTCCAGGCATGCGCACCGTCAGCTGTAAAGCCCGTACTGACCACAAACAACGGCATATATATGTACTAACCTCTTCATCAAACATGCCATGGCCATCATGGACCATCACTCTCCCCAAACACAGGGTGTACCGTGGCAGACTCACATTGTTTCACTGCCTGGATAGCATTTCGCGCAGCATCTTGAAGCAACTTCCTGTCAAGTGGAGGACATGGGAGGACACTTGAGAAGGGTAGACAAACAAATTGGATGTTGCCCGAAGGTTCAATTACCTTGTTTCAAGGTAGTCGGTCCCAAACAACAACAAGTCGCTCGTTTTCAGGGCATGGAGTGCTGGATGCCATGCATTGCCATGTCTGAAGCTCCGATCCTCCCTCTACGGCGTGTAGCCTGTGCGATGTGGAGCGTGTCTATTGGATGAATGCGAAGACTGAAACAAATGATGCACAAATGCCTGTTGGGTACAGGTCCACCGCGTAATATGACCTCTGATGCCTGTGCTGTCTTTTCTGCAACAAAGTAATTATCTATCGGCCTTCACACATTGACAAGCCAAGCGATCTCCTTTCTATATGAAGCACACCAAACAGGGATACAGTATCAGTTGGCTGTCCAATGGTGTCTACTGGCTTCCTGGCTTCACTGTAGACAGTGACTTTGGAGTGGAAACTCAACAAAACATGAATTCCCATCCAGCTAAACCACGTTAAACTCACTTCTGCATCTCAAGGAAACCTGAAAAAAGATTTCTCAATGACCCCATATATGAACGCCATGGTGGTGGTCTTCTTCTTCTATTGAACACCCCATCTTACGGCAAACGCCAGCCTTGACTTCTCGAATGACCTGAGCTGTGAGTTTCGACGAAACAGCGACGCCTCGTCTTCCACTCGGTCTGTTTCACCGAACCAGTCAGTTGACCATGGTAATTACTGCGCAAAACGGTGGGTTGGTGTGATGAACCAGGAACATGGATGAGCGAGCTTCATTAAAAAAAACAAACTAGGGGATCAACAAGTCAACAAGAGTCATTTGAATGCTGACAAGTGTCTATGTAGAGTCTATGGCTTTTTGCTCCCGTGTCCCACCCTCCACGCAAAAACGAGCAGCGCCGTAGCCCAAAAGTGCAACCAGCAACCAGGGCCGGCTGAAGAAACACACAACAAACGAATTTGTTGGAGGCCATCGCTACTATGATACTAGGAGGCCATCGTTATTAGGTTCCTTCAGCTCTTGTTCTATATCATATTCTTATATATTCTTTGCCGTGCGGGTGGTGCAAGCCAAATGAGCCGTGTCCAAGCTGAGGAGCTCCATGCAGCTGGCTGCTCGCTGCAAGAGCTCCAAGGCCTTCTTAGCATCCCATGCCTACCAGACCAGCTGCTGCTGCGCGTTCGCGTTCGCCAGTGGGTCTTTGTCGGGTGAAGCGCCACATCCCTTCAAGTACAACTGGGGGATTCCATCAGGCTTACGACGTGTAACCACTATAGTTACTAGTTACAGTAGCAAGAACTTGGAGGGTGGAACGACGACAGGTCCTCCCAAATTTTTCGACGACTGAACAGCAGTGGCGTTATGAACAAACAAATCTGCGACATATTGAACAAGTGTTACACATGTTTGCATAGAATCTGTGCGGCAGCAAAACAAACTGCGCAATGACACAGACTTGCAAAGACTTGATCTCTGCGAGCAGTTTCTTCCAATGCGAACATCAAGGCCTCGCAGGCTTCCAAAATGAACAGACATCCACTCAATGTAATGGACACTTTTCTTGAATCCACAAAGCTTTCCTGCTTCCCTGTCACACGCAGAACTCGAATCTCTTCAGCGCCTCCCGGCAGCTGATGGCCTCTTGCGCTAGCACTCCTGCCTGTTCCTGACAGCAGCAATGCTGCTCTCCGACGGCTGCGGCTTTGGGTTTAAGAGAGATTCACGTGCCTTCTGAGAGGGTGATTAGAGACACTTGTATGATCTTGTATGTATATAGGTGTGGAGGCTTCAAGTAGCTTCTGAAAAGGCATGTGGATCCTTTTTGGGTGATCACTATGGGTCACAGTTCGAAACAAGGGAGCAAAATTCAACTACATTGGCCACATAGGAGTAGTTCACCAGTTGCCTCTCGGCATCAAGAAGCTCATCGTCCGGGTCGCAAGGCTCTTATCTAGAACATCCCAAGTTTTACTCAACCAATGGATTGACTATCTTTTTGATGTTCCCAAAGGTGTTTGAGGGGTCTCCCTATTCACACACACCCACGCTGTTTGGCATTTGAATGTGATTGAAAGTTAGCCTGCACTAGGGCAGGTCCCTTCAGCACCATCAATTTCTCACTGCATTGCCCCTTTTTGCTGCCTCCAAGGAGGCTTGAGTGCCCGATGTCTTCGGCCTCCTGGCAAGTCAGCAGCGCAGGCTGCGCAGGTATAACTTGAATGAAATTTTGGACCCAAACAAAGGTCATTAGCACTCACTCATGCTCCATACTGCTGAGTTTAAGTATCCTGTTGCCTGTTGATGCAGAGCTTGCTGAACTGCCATTCAGCTATCGTAGGCAGCAAGGTCCCAACGAGCAAAGGCTGCAACACTTTGACCGGACAACTGCTGATCTCATGGACCCACAAATGCCAGTCATGCTCACCAACGAGGTTTCATTCTTGCAATCATCATACTCTTACAACTTACTGACACGTCTGCAGTTCATCTTGGCCTGTCTTTTGACCTAGAACCCTTTTCAACGCCAAGAGATGAAAACCTCCCATCCTCCCGCTCCTCGACTTTCTCTTCTTGGCGCGCTTGACTTTGGCACGCCTCGCCTCGCATTTTTTTTGGCATGTTGTAGGTGCACGCAGCGAGCTTGGTGAATTTGCAGTTAAATAGAACACCAGCTGCCAGGCTTCATAAATATCAGCAACTCTTGGTAGAAGGGGCTGGAAGCATCTAGCAACACCAGCTTTTTGGTTCACAGCAGCCTCCAGCTTGGAAAACTGTGTAGGCAATCGAACAATCGGTGTTTCTTCAAGATGGGGTATGACATGACCCACATAGATCTCCTCAACACAACACCTTGACAGGGCGCTCACAAACATTGTGTGCGCCAGCCACGCATGGATCACTTCAACAATAAACAAATCAAGAACAATCAAAACTGCGTCCGAATTGCATGCTCACTCTGCAAAAACCCAGCTAAACCAGCCAATCAACACCTACACGAATTGGTCACTTCTATGTGCTTCCTTGTCCCTGCCACGCCTTCCCGTCAACGGCCTCCCGAGCAGCGCTGCGCGCCAGGCGCAGCAGCGCGCCGCTGCTGCGGCCCTGGTTGATGGTGGATTTTTGGGTTTGGGTTTCGGTTCTGAGCTCCTCAGAATTTGTGTAGACATCTTGAGGTCAAAATATCTATTCGTGCAGGAGTTAGAAGTGTGTTGAACCCACCAACCGGCGCCTGCCGCGCCTGGTCAATGGCCCTCTGCGCCGCCTTGCGCGCCCACACCGCCGCCCGCCAGGCTGTCTGCCGGCTCGCCGGGCGGAAGGCCTCGGAAGGATGGGGGGACCGGTGTGTGGAATCCAAGCACCACGCAACAATCGCAGAATGTGCAATCAAGGAAAATAACGAGAGAAAAGACCAGTTTAGGACTTTTCTTAAGTCATGTGCCAGGATTTCTGATATGCAATATCAGCAATTGGTGGGTTTCGAAAAGAGATTGCTCTCAGATGTGATACAAAAGCTCTTCTTGCCACAGTGGGTGGTTGCCTCCATCAACAAATCACTGGAGGATTTTGCTGTGGTAGAAACAGCAAGTGCTCCTTGCTGTGCTTTCAACAGTAGATTCACTCCAAGGTACTCTAGCAGCCACTTTCTGCATCGCGTCGCATAGCGTCCAGACACTTGGTAATGAGGTGAAGAACACAGGTTCCGCTGGCTGTCCAAAGGCGTTTTTTTACCACACCGATGTCTCATCCACCTCTCTAGGAAGTCCAACCGACTTCTACAACATCGCCCTCTCCCTCTCTGCCTTCTAGAAAAACGCACGTACTCATTACGTGCTACTTGTCTGCCAGCAAGCCTGCTATGAGCCAGGACTACACAGCAACTTACACTGACACTGAAGACCAAACAATAGGAAACAGAGTTGAAGCGGAGTGCGTTTGTGGTACCAGTGGTAGATCCTCGACAGGCGGAAGTTGAACACCTGGTCTTCAGCTTGCATGGATGACTCGAGACACTTCATCGATCTCCAACGCAGTCGTAAGGCTTGAGCCTCCGGGAAGTCCAATGGCCACCGGTTGCACAACATCGTCCCAACAGTCCAGTAAGGCTGCAGCGTCAACCCGCGGTTGCTGGCTGCTTAGTGGCAGCTGGGCCAGCTGATTGTGAGTGGATCTTTGACAATCCAAGTGAGAGATTTCTACCAAAGCCTATGATCCTTAGACTCTTCTCTTCTTCCTATTGTCATTCTTGGGTTTGATGTTGAAATTATTAGTCAAGTAGTTGGACACTCAGAAGCTGCCTTGGTGAAGCACGGATGTCATGTGTCATAGGTCCTCCTGCGCCTATATTCTTGAACAGGGGCTGTCACCACGGAACCAAATGTTGCGCAGCTCATCATGATGGTCTCCAAATACCAAGCCCACGAAGAAGAGGCCACTGCCCACCAAACTAATTAAACATAGTGGGAAGCAACCACCATAAACATGAACCGAATAAGACCATAAAAGAGCTGAGCAGCCCCTTCCACTTCCAAAAAATCCTCCCCAGTCTGTCACACATGTGCGGCCAAAAACACACCTCTCTTTCTCATTGGCACGGAGCGGCTAATCCCACCCCATCGCATGAGCAATGCGCTCAAGATCCACTTGGAACAACTGGGATCTTCTTGAACCACTCGGAGCTGACGCTGAACCACTCGGGCACACGGCGCCGAAGAGTGGGTCTTTTCTCCGCACGCATCGGACACGCGTGGGTCCGTGACGCATGGGTCCGTGACGCACGGTCTCCTCTGCCTGACGGTGCCAAGTGGTGAGTAACTGCTTGAGGTCAGCTCATCCCAGCCTTTTAGACAGATAAGTCTTGGCCACTCTGATATCTGCGGCTAAACCGGTTGTCCTTAATTGAAACACACCTGACATGTGTTCTTCCAGTAAGCCATGCTGGGACTGCCTGCCCATGCTGCTGGGACTGCATCACGAGTCACCCATTTTGCATGTTGAAACATGCGAACACATGCACTGTCTGAATGACAGGGACTCACATGATAGGCTGATGGCAGTTCCGACGGTCGCTCCTCTGACTGGTTGGCTGGAGCAACTGGTCGACAGACCTTCAGGAGAGACCCAACAGCCGAAGAAAACAAGCCAGGACAAGGGCGCCAAGGTGAGTTGTTTTTGCCTTGATCATGGGCACTCTTGATCAGTAGGGCATACAGCAAATAATCCAAGCCTGACTGGGGAAACAACACTCACCAAGAGACAGATACCTTAAACCTCTGAAAGAGTTGGTAAATAGACATATTTTCCGAACTTCTCATTCAGCACAAAAGGTCATGTCGACCAGTGCGTCTCGCACCATGGCGTTCCCGGGGGCACAGGAGGGGAATGATGTCTTGCCATAAGGGCAACAGAAACATAGGTCGAATACCCAAACTTTATACCAAAACATGGGGGTCATCTGTCTTTGGCTTCTGCTACGGTAACTCACTCAATTCAGGATTGATTGTCCTGCAGGAGGTGACGGTAGAGATCAACCTCGGGATGTCAAACTTGCATCGTCCATCATTTGGGACATGAAGCGAACATCGAAACTCCATAGCAGTGTCTGACCGGAAGGCTAGTCTCCCCGAACTTCAAAGCAAAGCTAACTACTAGTCTCGCTGTGAGGGCTGGAGAGAATTCCTTTTCAGCTGTAGGGAAGAGTTCTCTTCTTCGTGGTTTTAACAACAAAGTTACTCTGGTGACCCCTGTCTTTTTTGCCTATCTTCTGAGAGGATGGATGTCTAATGACATGACACATCGGAAAGCAATTCTTATATTCTAAACACAGGGCATCTAAACGCTGGGGTTGTTTGCTGGAACCACCAAGATCAGCCATGATCAGCATAGTCATGACAGGTTAAGCCGCAACAATCACTCCCCACGGTATAACGCGTTGGTTTCCTGGAGAGAAACCAATGATGGTGCAGTCTTGCAACTGAGGCTTGCAAATGCACACCTTGCAAACCTTGCGAGATCAGCGGAATCATCACCTATAACTTATAACTTCAGTTTCTTGATTTAGGGTGTGCGTCAAAACCCCGGGTCTCAGGTGAACATCGCGCACCTTCCTGTTCCATAGGGTATGGAACGGATCCCTTGTTCCATAAGGTATGGAACAGGTATGGAACGGGGGTATGGAACAAATTGTACCAAAAAACCTGACGTGTCATCTCAGTCCCGTTTCTCACGGTAAATGTATTTCAGCAAGCAAAGCGCACGTTTTGATTGAACCTCGAACAATTGTAAACTAGGAGTCCATAGGTATGGAACGATGGGTATGGAACGGCGAACAGACATGCTGTTCCACAGGTATGGAACGGGGTATGGAACGAGATGTTCAAGAGTACATGTTCCATACCAAAACGTTTTGACTCATGGCCTAATTTCCCATGGCTTTGGAATCGGATACCAGGAAGACCATGGTCGAACAGTCCTCCATGATCTTAGACCCAGAATCCGTGTCTGGACCTCATCTGCCAAGTGAGAGTCCAACGCTCACGGAACTCCTCAGATTTCCATGGAATAGCACGTCCTCGAATCACACGGCAGCCAGGTCCTCACATGCGGAAGGTTTTTCCTCCGCTGGATGGAAGGTGCGTTCAGCGGCTTGGAGATCTTGTCAAGGTCACAAGCATGCCTAGCATTTGATGAAGAATGCTAAAACAAGTGCTCAACAGGGACGGAAGACGCCGAACATCAGGGACTTGGCTCTGAGCATCCGATCCACTTCCCGGTCAACACGAAACTGAACATCCGAATCCCCCAGCAAGGGTCGCTGAAACACCGTTTGAAATTGGGTGGGGCTGGATGGGGCCCCGCTTTCAAACAAATGGATGCCTCTGGCCTGCGTCATGAACAAGTCCTAGCTTATTTTCTATAGGATTTCAGCAGCCGACACCTTGGATGCAAACTGGCCGCTACGAACGGATACGAAATCAAATGAAGCTGCACATTGGCACGTGCTTATCTACAATCGATGCCGGACAATCGCCAAGCAAGACAGCACACCTGCAACAAAAGCATGAGCAACGTGGAAAGGCCTGGGCTTCTTCCGCAACTGGCATGTCTCACTGGTCCATGCTAGAATTGCTAGATATGGCATAGCTTCTTGTTGAGGTTGGTCGGGAACAAGCGATGTGGGGATCTTCATTCTTTAAGCTTTTAGATGCTTTTAGCATGATTTTGTTGAGCCTCCTGAAGAGCTACCAGCATACTTAATGCTACTTGAGCTATGCTCCTGGGGGCTAAATCGATGCCGTGCAAAAGACCCAGCAGCCTCCGAGTTGAAGCCTGGTGCCTTTGCAGCTGCCGAGCAAACCACAAGACGGAGACACAAGTCAAAGCTGAATAACGACTGACATACTTTCCGCTAGCGATGCAATCATGTCTGCGAACGGGACCACAACTCATGTGAGGAAACCTGAATTCCACAGGTCTTTGGAGAGCCAAGTGCGGATCTGAGACGAATCTCTCACCACGTTTTGTATGCCAAAAACGATAAACAACACCCAATCGAGGTAGACAAACTGGTCAGTAGGGGCATGCACGCCAAGGAGCGCCGGCTCACCCCGACAATTGTGATAGCATAGCAGTTGCAAAAAACGAGCAGCGTTTGGGAGATTCCTTGATGACCTGGTCGACGCTGGGGTAAACATGTGGTTTTCTGCGTGACTGGACATGTTTCTTGGTGACAGGCGGTGAAACATTGGGAAACGGTACCAGCATAGACACCAGCTGTGCGGAAATACTTGAGGCCGCACTTCCTCACTGGGTTTGCTTCACTTGTGTGTGTGCTTGGTCTTTGCTTCACAGTGATTTCGGGCCTACATCTTAGCGAGCGTAAGTTGCTTCACTGCAAACAGGCCTAACTGAGCTTCTAGATGCAAGGAGCTGAGCAGTATGACTATCACTATGGGACCTGGAAGAATAGTGCAATGCCTGAACTGGCAGAACAAGTAGTGCAGGAGAGATCTGACTGTGTACAACAGGCAATCCTACATCAAAGTTGTAGAAATGCCTTATGACAAGCTGCGACATCAATCCGTGCAAGACTTGTGAAGACACGAGGCATTATATGTTTGCAACAAGCTTGGGTGGCACCCGATATGTGCACCCAGTTCAGCCGGTGAACTTTGGAGGGGTTCAGCGGGCGAACACGGGCGACACATGTCTCGGTGGGGTTGTGCGAAGTCCATCCGAAGCCGCTGGCCATATCAAAGCTCCAAGCAGCAAGCAGCATGGCATCGTAAGCAGCAAGCAGCTTCGGCAAGTAAGCAGCCTGATCATGCTTCATGCAACCATTGAAGCTTAGTTGATCTTGAAGAAGGGCGAAATGCTTACAGCATCTTACAGCGAAACTTTCCTGGACAAGAATTGTCTGCACTCAGGGCTTTATAACTTATAACCATTTTCAAAGCACCTGATTCCCAGTTTCACCAGAAATGAACGCATGAACTCATCGCAAGTTGCACATGCTTTGACCTTAGCTCGGCAACTCGATCGGTCCTTCGTTCGCCGGGTTCGTCCTGAGGACGAGGATGGCGAGTGTGAATATCAAAGGCACCCGCCGACGGGTTCCAGCTTGCATAAATCACTTAGATATGATACGTCCCAACTCAAGACCTTAAATGTAGCCCCTCAATGGAATCACATCAGACTTGTCGCAGAATTTCATTCCCAATTCCTCCTTCCTACCAGCTGCACATATCAGTGTTTGACTTGGCCAGTGCCTACTGCTGGGAACCAAATATAAATGCCTGAGGCTCAGACTTCGACACCAATCACGACAAAAGCCTAGTTCTCAAATCTCCACAACATCCACCCCAAAAAAACAAAAAAAAGCGGAAAAAAGGATCAGGGGGGGGAGAGACACAGTGGCTGGGTGTGTCTTTTCTTGCTTTTGGGGCCAAAGAACGAAACCCAAGCGCCTTTACGGACTGGCCACTGTCATGACAAGAGTCGTCCTGTCGTCCCCTGGAACCACCTCGCATTCGCCTCGCAAGCGCATTCGCCTCTCCAATCTGACTATGACTCAGATGACTCGGGCGCACTCCTGGCAAGGCGCCAAGGAGAACATGCTTTGCACACAACGAACAAAACAGGTCCCTTCAAATATCCAAATAGTCTAAACAAAGCACTGCAACGTCTGCAACTTCATCGCGGGATTTGTGGGGGTGCGAGCTGCCACCGATCGCAGTTAGGAGGGGCTGCGGGATATGAAGTGCATCCCATGGCCCAACCTGCTGGACAGTTATCTGTTCACAAATTCAAGGCCACCGGATGGTCACATGTTTCGACATGCTCAGCACCTCTGGGGTCATTCTGTGGTGTTTCAAACAGGAGAGGTGTTCAAGGCAAAAGCCGAAGTTAGATCACTTGGACCAACAAATCACTCAGAGAAGGGTGTCCGAGTGGGTGTCCGAGTCGTCCAGCGGGTTGCGATGCTGCCAATCGGGTCGCGCACGCGCGTGCCGCGCGCGGCGTTCGAAGAACATGCTCCTGCTGTCTTTTGAATCTTCAGAAGCAACACATCAATGCGTATGCGTATATACCAGACGGAATGATTCTTTGAAAGCGAGGCGCCTGGAGCTTTGAGCAAGTCGAGGATCTATCTCAGTTCTCGAAGGACGTAGTGACTACGGGGTATGAGCTATACAACCACTTCGTCTGCAGAGTGGATTGACACCAAAGAAGCATCCAGATTCACCCGCCTTGGTCGGAGATTGCAAGGGCCAACTGGCTGACAGGTGACCTTGCTGACTGGTGCTGTTTGGCACCTACTGGCTTAATTCTAGTTCAGTGCAGCTACAAGGAGCTCTTTTTGATAGGGAGTGCTGCGGTTGTGCATGCTGCCCTCTGCATGGAGCGTGAGATGACCTTCTTCTGAGCTCTGAAGAGCGTGTTTCTACTGAAGATCGTTGGAACTCAACATGATCCCATCTGATCCACTTAAAGGTCCAAAGCAGCACTTGCAGAGTCTGCAGCCAGCGAGGCCACTCAATGTAGCATCTACACGCATCAGAGGCCCCATCCGTCGCCGGTTGATTGCTCAAAGGCAAGATCCAAGGCTTACGGCAAGCCCCATTCTTAACATCTAAAGTGGATTGAGAGTGTGGTGCAATCCCCAAGTTTGGTGGGCCACTGCCATCTGCTCTGAAACCAGTGTCAAAACATGGAGATCGTTGGAGATCGGTTTGCTGGGAACAACGAGCAGTGCAGTTCTGCGCAGAACTCGGCGTTGCGCAGCTGTCCTGCGATGTTCTGCAGAAGTGAAATGTGTGTGAAGTTCGCAATCACACATCGCCACGTCAGTGACCTGAAGACCCAAAGGGATTGGGTGAACGTCCAATATTGGATGGGAGTGGACCTTAGTGGCACCTAGTGACCTAGTGGCACTCCTCAAAGTAGGTTTGTAGTCTCCTATGTGGGTGCTACAATGTGCTACAGTGTGCCATACTGCTATCGAGTGACATCCGTCTTAACACTTTAAAGCTTCGACTTTCTCGAAGCAGGATAACTCTTCTCTAAAGATGTGGGCCATATCAATCATGTGCTGCACACATATGCAAAGTGAACATCGTGAGCATCGGCTCAATCAGCCCGACGCAGCCCAGCCGGTCGGAGTTGTCACACCGGACCAGCCGCCCTAAGCCGGTCCGGTGGAGGGACACATGGATGGACCTCAGTGGCTAGGAACGGGGTTGGTCCCTTGAGGTGCCTTTGATGTCCCTTTTCAGCTTTGAAACCATGGAAGTGATACCTACTGAACCATGAAGCGATGACTGACCCATCCCCATGCAGTGATCTCTGGCTGCTTGCGATTCGGGTGGATCCACCGGTGGGAGTGAGCGTTTTGCTTTCTTGTCACTTCATGTCACTTATGGTCCTGGAATACCTATCAGCGACTGCAAGACCTAGAGAATCAAAGCTGAGGTCCCCAAGCCACGCTTCTTCCTTCGAGCACGAGGTGTCCCTTGCGGTCCATGCACGGCTGCATCTGCGTGCGCATCCGTCCGATGAGCTCAAAGTGAGGAGACCTAGCAGTAGCTCTGCAAGGGACATCTGGAGCAATGAACAGAGGCAAGATACACACGCCATGGCCGACTCCCGATGCTGGAGATCCCTGGACAGTAAAGCTTAACCAGCGGGGGCAGTCTTCTGGCAGGTGATCCACAGGACTTCTGAGTGGGGAAATGAACTGTAATAACTGTCATAACGCATCACGGAGGTCTCTTGCTATCTGGAGTGGTCAGCTCGAATCGAGGCAAAATATGTTGGAGTTGCTGAGGATCATCTTGGGGGGTCTAACTACCTGACGATGCTGTTGTAGCCGGAAATTTTCGGTGCACAACTTATGGGCTTCTTAGGTGCCAAGACTGACTTGCTGGCCAAGATCTTCAGCTTATATAGACCATGCACCCAATAGATAGAAAAGCCGACCCCCACTCAAAATATATGGGAAACCGTGTCCATATCTATTAGGGGATCACTTTCTTGAGGCCTTGGAGGCCCTCACAAAACGCCTGAAGAGGCCCCTCACCACGTCGATCATCGAAACCCTCTCACCGAGCGATGCTTGGCTCGTCCTTGCAGCCGATGCTTGGCTCGTGGAGAATGGAGGAAACGTGTCCCTTGGAGTGTCACTCCGGATTGGGACAGGGAGGGCTGTGATCTAAGAGAAGCTGAGCCTAAAAGCTTTTTGCCAGACTATATGTTTCTATATAGTACCTTGGCACCCTGCACCTCATTGTAATGAAGTTCTTGTTCTGACGATGAAAGACGATGAAAGGCAACCTAGCCTTCAAACAAGGCGACCAAAGGAGCTTTCTGAAAGGGGAGGAAGTGCACAACTGGAATTCATTCTAGCTCTCGAGAGTACACCTGCATAGCTGCAGGTGTCACTCCATGCCTTCCATGGGAAAGGACGAGACAGCCGGACAACCAGACTGCTGCCTCGGTGCTTCCGTCAAGAAGACTCAACAACTCGGCTTTCACATCAAATGATCTGCTCTCAACGACGCTCGTCGCCTGTGGCATGTGCAGTTTAGATAGTTTAGGACCAACGACGAGCACTTTCGTTGCTTGGAGTAGAGGTCTTGGGAGAAATACCTCAGGTCACGCTCCAAAGTCAGCATCCAAAGCGACCGATGAAACCAAAGCTGGGTATGATTATAAGATCTTACACCACCTTCGACGAAGGCACGGCAGCCCTCTTTGGGTCCAAACACTTTCTCTCTCGCGCTAGTCAACTGATGACGCTGCTTCTTGCGAAAGATGAAAGTGGGCGACCTGCACATCGGCTGGTGGACCTTCCATCTGAGGGTGGGAGCTCTTTTCGCTCAAGGTGATTCAAGCTGTAGAAATCACTCATACCACAGCAAAGCTTCACAGCTTTGCTTGGGAAAAGAGACGAGGACAGAAGCTAGCTTCCTGGGTTCACTTCAGCATTTTTTGGGGCGTGGACAGCCACAGAATCAATCTGCCTGGCTTGAGAAGCTTGCAGCTCTAGTGTTGGGATATATAGGCTGGGAGACGTCTGTTGCTCAAATCCAAGAAATGAACAAATGATATGCAAAAGAAAGCGAGGGGCGACGCATCCATTAAGACGCAGTTTGATTGTCCAGGGACTCACTTGGATTCACCAACATCGCAGATTCACAGGTCACCTTCTGGCAGCAGCTGGTGTCCTTGACGGTCTTTTTGGAAG